TTTGCCAGTAACAAGTAGAAACCATTTATCATCTTTTCTCAACTTGTCCAATTTTAGCAAAAACCGAATACTTCAAAAGACACAACAGGGTGTGTAGTTACCTCCACTGGCAGATGTGTACCTCCCTCGAAGTTCCAAACATGTGCTTCAAGTGGTACGAACATTCACCAAAACCGCGATCAAAGCGTCGTAACCAAGGAGGAAGAGAAACTTCTTAAATACAAGAGTTTGGAAATCGAAATCAGACGAATGTGGGGCATAAAATCACAGGTCGTTCCGATTATTATTATTATTATTATTATTATTATTATTATTATTATTATTATTGGAGCTCTGGCATTTGTTCCGCAATTTTTGCGTGGACTGGGAAGTGCAGGAAATTGCTTTATTTGGAACGGCTCACATTTTGCGCAAAGTATTGTAGAGGCACCGAGAGTCCTTGATCAGCACCTTAATAAGATTTCAACCTGTAGTGAATTGTGTATTCAGTTGACTCGTATCGTCTTCGATCGTGAATTGTAGATAATAAATAATAATAATAATAATAATAATAATAATAATAATAATAATAAAAATAAAAATAAAGTCGGCCCCGTGGCGCAGACGGATGCGGCAGCAATCGTCTGCGCCGAGGATGCTGCAGGATCGATTCCTGCGTAGACATGGTCGTATTTCTGATTGTCCCTTCACCCCTCATCACCCTACTATTATCTCATATTTCACACTTCAAGACGTAACAACCTTGTCGTACTGAGGTATATAACTGAAAAGCTGATCCTGGTCAAATTACACACGTTTAGCGTGGTCAGTAATGGCCTATAAGCAATAATAATAATAATAATAATAATAATAATAATAATAATAATAATAATAATAATAATAATAATAATAATAATGCCATCTACACAGCCATACTGTATACGCCCTGGCAAGTGCGTCATGAGGGTTTTGGGGGAGTGTGTCGTGAGCACTTAAGAAAGGGGGCCGGTCGGGCCAGCACCGTCCGTGGCAGCGGGAACGTGTCCCAAAGTGGTCCCTACGGGCGAAGGGGAGTGCCTTCCCAATCTCGCAAGCGCGCTTTCCACACACAAAGGACAACACGTTTCTTCATGTTTCGCAATTTCCAGATAATTCAACAAAAACTATGTACTTTCAATTTCGTATGAGATTAATCAAGCGCACTTTGCGCTGCCATAGTATTTTTTTGTTGTTATAGAAATACGTTTAATAAATTACTGTAATTGAAGTTAATAATAATTTTCACGGTTTAGGCCTAACGGCCTGTTCCGATTCTATGGTCCACCGTTTTTTTGGTCTCCCGGGATCTCGGTTTACAAGGGGTTGATATTTCCATTATTTTTGACGACGACGCTGCACTTCCTTTCTAAATAGATGTTGGGTCCAATTTCTATTATACTTCTGGATTTGATCGAGGACAGATGCCACTCTGATTTAGCTCTTTTCGAATATCTTGATTTCTTTCGTGATCAGTTTTCGAATAACCTTTTACTGTCCTTAGAAACTTCATCTGATGCATATATTCTCATTTTTCTTTGTTTCAAAATCCAGCATTCACTACGGTATAGCAGGGTCGGTATTGCCATTGTCTTATACAATTTTAACTGTTTCCTTTCGGGTTTTCTTTCCAAGGGTTAACTAACCTTTTTTATTTTTTTCATTTGTTGCGTCAACTTTAGACGCAACGCGTCTCCAAACCCCTTGGGGGTGGGGGTGAGCGCTTCGTGCTTTTGGAGTTATCCTCCATAATTGCTGCGCGGGAGTAATCCTCCATTAATTATATAGTCACGTATCGTCTTAGTCAGTTGTCAAGACGACCGCGAGATAGTATCTCCGTGTACGCGCCTCTCTCACGCGCTCCTGCATCACTACCCAGCGGCCAGAATTGAAAAGGAATTAGGGTAAGGAATCACGGCAAGGTTTAGGGCGGTTCACAGGAGCCCTAGCCCTCGTTTGTCGTTCAAATTTCACATGAAGTCCTACGAGGATTCTACAGGAATCGAACCCGAACTTCAGTGGTGAAAGGGAAGCGACTTCGCCATTGAGCCACGAAAGCATGTTCTTAAACATCCTTCTTATGGTTGCACATATTCTGGAATCGCGAGAGTTAAGAGATAAAGGAACCGCGAGAGGGAAATAACTCATTTGATCAATAACTGAAACTTTCAATTAAGAAGTAATAAACAATTGACCCGCTATCACTTAAAAGGCAATAGTTCTAAATTATTTTAGATAACTTGACTTGCAAGTTAACTTGATAAAGCGAAGCTTACAAGAAGATCAGTGGAAAGTTATTTATAATTTTAATGCAAGCAATGAACAAGAAAAATCAAACTTGTTGCGAGGTTTCCACAGAAGGCTCATTCAGAAATGACGATATTGCATACCGGATCATTTGTCTGCACACCGATAAGTAATTGCAGCGCTAAAAGATCTTTTTCATGTTTGAAAGTGTGAAAAACTTTCCCAGATCAAAAATGACCGAAGATCGATTAAACACGATTGCGTTGTTGGCAATAGAATCTGAAATTTTAATATTAATATACTGTGACGATCTTATAGCCTAATTCACTGTCCAATCAGACAGTCGCGAGAGATTTTACTTCAGTTTGTGTAATATAATTCATTTTATAATTAAATAGCTGTATTTGTAATAACTGAATAACTGCTTTAGAAATTATTGAAGTGTCTTTCTTAACAAAATTACAGAATGCCTGTCTCGCACCGAAGGATCGCGGGTTCGAGTCCACCGCGGGCATGGTTGTATTGTGTTCGTCCTTTCACACCACTACCATCATCATATTGTGTCATTCTCATAGTTACCATACCGTTACACATAGTGGTCGCTAATGAACTAGTAGTTGATGCGACCTTAAATTTAAAAAAAAAATTAAAGAATAAAAAAAGGGCGGCTTGGAGTGCAGTGCCCAGAGGCGCCCAAGGTATAAATCCGCATCGGCCCGCAAGCGGCGAAATTTAAGTTGTGAGAAGGGCGGGG